TCAGGACTCTATAGTATAGACTAATAAGTAATAACTCGCCAATGCAGTACCAACTCACTCTGCAATTGCATGCACCAAGTCACACTATTTGGTAATGGCAATGGTCCAGAACTGCGCGTGCAAGGTTTTGGTGACGATGTGACGGTATAGCAGAAATCACACAAATTTCCATTTCCCGTGAAGTAGATTTTTTTACAGCGCCACTTCAGTGCCACTGGTATTAATATTGGAGATAGCTTTTTATGTACATCGGTATTACCAACATCTCTCATGAAAAAGGATAAAAAGTGAGAACTCAAAAAAAAAAAATACAAAAAATATTTGGATTAGAATGGGTTAAAATTTTCCTTCTAGGTGCACTGACTTATATACTCACGCAGCACCCAAATAAAAATCCCTGATATTGTGGTTTGGTAGGTTAACTTTACCTTCGAAAGTGCATACGAACAAGAAAGTCTAACTCGATAAATTTTAGGAATAAATGTGTATTATTTTAGAAGATGTAAAATTGTGTCATTTTAAGTGAGAGAAAAATTAGATAAAGGAGAAGAGAGAGTGGATAAAAAAATATAAAGGTGTGAGTCTCACCTCTTTGATAAGAGTGAAATGACATAAATTGTGTCATTTAAAATGACAAACACTTTTCCCTAAATTGTAATATGCCTTTTCAATTTTTTCTTTGTATCCACTTCATTTATATAAGAGTTCACTTTTTCTATATTGAGCCCAAAATGATGTCGTTTTAAGACGGAAATTAAGGTATTTTTGTAATTATAATTTATTTTAGGGTTATTATAATTTTTTTATTATAATTTTTTAATTTTTCAACTCAAAACGATATTATTTTGTGAGCGAAAGTAAATAACTTATCTACATTCACTTTAATAATATTAAAGCCTTCATATAAACCATTAACCGAAAAGATAGTAAGATAATTTTTTGACATTTTTTAACATATTTGTTATTAGATATTAAATAGGAAAATATTATATTTACAAAAATTTTATTTACAAACTCCACTATGTCTGACCGGTAATACAATCGTGAGTAGAGTATTATCGGTCAGATACAATGTAGCTTGTAAAAAAAAATTGTTAATATAACGCTACTCTACTAAATAATTTATACTATTTTTTATTGGCGGGCTTAAAATGAAATTTTACTATATAATAAAATGTTTTAAAAAATAAGTATAGAAAATAAAGTGTCACTAATACTTCTATTAATATATTTTACTTTAATTATATCGTTAATGCAAATTTATATTCTTTAGAGTAAGATGAGAAAACAAATATTAATTAGTGATAACAAATTAAATGAATAAATATTAAAAAATTCAGTATTTATTATTTTATATAGTTAATATTATCAGCAATTGAGATTATTCATTTTTTTTTTTCATTTCAAATAATTTTTTTTAATAAAACAAATACTTATAATTTATAACTAAGGTAGAACCTCTCTGTTAACAACAACAAAAATTCTTAATCCAAGCAAATACTTGAGAATTTTTCCACTGACCCACCACTATACATTCGTTTTCCAATGAAACTTTGTTATCGGTACCATATACTTTTAGCCCATTCAACATGGTCTTGCCACAACATTTTTCAAGGAACATTCTGCTCGGTTGGTGGGACTTTGTGACCAATATAACGCTCTGATTGGCGCCTCGGATGCATAAAACTCGATGAACAATAACCAATAATTAATTGCATCTTGGAATTATACTTCATTTTATTTTACAAATGTGATTTTAGTCTAAATTAAGTTTGAAGTTAAGACACAGTGCAAAGTAGTAAATAGGTTTGGGCTAAACAAACGCCAACCAAACAAGTACCAATTGCATAAGATTGCGGTTACATAATTCATTAAGAACATTTCGTTCGTTAATAATTAATAAATTGTAAAACTTTTAAACATAAATTAATATTTTATATATAATACGATAATAGTTTTTAACAATATAATTCATCTTGAAATACATATTATTTTTATTTATAAAATCTTATAATAACTTTATGCATTAAATAAAATATGTATTAACATAATCTCGATAATCAGGTCATGATAAGTTAAATTAGGATTAAAAAAAAGTTTCAACTAAAATATCTCATCAGAAACGAGCTAAGCTAAACACGAGTCAATTCATCAAAAAAAAAAAAAAAACACGAGTCATCTGTCAGATGGGAATTACTATGCTACGGATTCGCCGCTAATCACACTCCTTTTACTTTATAGGTCCCGTTGACGGTGACAATAATGATGGTGCACTCAAGATCTAATAGTGTCGGCCTACAGGGCATGTTTTTTTTTTTTAATATTAATGTTTCTCGTGTTATTATTTTTTACATACACATAAAATATATAAAATTTATGCCAGGTCATACATAATATAGAAATTACATTCAGAAATGGTGAAGAATTAGCTAGAGCATCATAGGTTGTAGTGAAACTGATTGCAAAAGAGGGAAACTCGAAATGTGAGTCATACATTTTTATGTATCTGTAGAAAATAAAATTTATCTCCTAATAAGAAAAATTAAATTTTTTTTAATCTATACTTTTTTCTAATAAAATTAAAATATATTCAACAAAACTTAACTTTTTTTTTATTGTATTGACCATACTTAGCTCTTTGAGACGAGTCGGTTCCCATTCAGTTATGAGACTAATTTTGAGTAATGCTTTTGTCACAGTTAAAATTCTTCACCTCTCTTTAAATATGTATTTAGTGACAATCGAACTCAAATTCTCTCCTCACTTATTCACCACCTAATGTCAACTAAGTTACATTTATTAACAAACCCAATTTCAATCTTTCAATCAAAGCACCATTTTATAAAAAGTAAAATAATAATAAATAAAATTTCAAAATAAAAACATTTGAACCATCATATACTCTCAAGTCTCTCCAATATCAAACTGCAAGAAGATGGACATAATTAATTAAAGATTAGGCTTATATGTTATATCTCACAAGGATGTGAATTCGAATTTTGCTTGCCCCAATATGAGGATCTTATTAATGGACAATTGTTAATTGCTCCCAAAAAATTTCAAAAAAATTAAGGATGGTGGGAAACCAATATCTAATCTTACTTCAATTTTGAATTAAAAAAAAATAGTTGGATACTAAAGTAAATAAACAAACAAAAGAGAAGCTAGGCACTATTTTATGAAACAATAAAATAATAATAATAATAATAAATAAAAATTTAAAATTTAAAAAATTAAATTTTTGACCAGCCATATACTCTCAAGTCTCTCCCGCGACCAAATTCAAATAATAGAATATTAAGTAATTAAATTAATAAACAAACAACATAGAAGATGGAAAAATTTATCATGCTACTCCCCCACCACTAATTTAGTATTCCCTTTTCCTTAAATAAAAAAATTTATTTCATTTCTATCCTTTTACTTTTTTCTATTTTGAGAAGGGCTTTTTATTCAAAAAAAAAAAAAAAAAACATCTCCACATAAGATAGAGGCAATGGTAAAGCAAGAGTGCAAGACATGTGAATCTTATTTGGCAAGTAATGGAAGGCATGACTAGCAGGGAGAGTTTGTGGATGTCAGTGGGATCAATCATCTTTTTCCTTTTGTAGTTTTGTGTTTGCTTTTTTCATTTCTCTTCTTAAACAAAAAACAAAAAACAAATAATCAACCCGCACATAGTAACGTAAATTTGTTTTATTTATTTTGAGAGTTACGTTACAGCTCCATATACAAGTCAAAACTGCTTATAGTACGTGTGGACAGTGGTTTTTGAAAGAGAAAAAATAGAAGGGGAAAAATGTTTGGAGTCGCACTAAGATTTATAAATATTATTTTCATCTTGACCATCAATTTCTATCTATTTAATAATTATAATTTTTTGAGTTATATAAATTAATTAATTATTAATTTCAAATAAAATTATAGTTTTTTGAGTTATGTAAATTAATTAATTATTAATTTCAAATAAACTATGACCATTAGATGAGTCAAAAACTGAGATGGAGACTAAGACTTCTAATAACATATTTGGATCTTCTCTTTTTTAAGCAAATAGCTAGTTTCAAGCTAAAGTTAAAAAAAAAACTAAAAACTATTTGGTGAATATATAAATTTTTTGGAAAAAGTGCATGTCCTTAAAAAGAACACGTAGTTAGATCATTTTAAAAAAGAGTTAGATACAAAAAAATGTGGATCTCATTGAAAAAATAAAAGTGTGGATCTCGATATATCTATCTCTTTTCTAAAATAATTTAAATGTGTGTCCTTTACGAATGACACACACTTTTTCCAAAAAATTTAATTTAAAAACATACATTTCAATAAAAGTTAATAAAAGCTTTTGGCTTTTCACTTTTGACTTTTTTCTTTATTATAAAATAAAGTTTTTTTTTTGGGTACATCAAAATAAAGCTTTTCATTAAAAAACTTTTATTAGCTTTTCATTATAAAAAAAAGCATTTGAAATTTAAAATCCTTTCCCGAGATAAAAGTAAAATTTTTAATTTTAAACTTAAATAGTTATATAATATTTATAAAAAATAAAAAATAATTTAAAAAGTTTCATAGTAATTTATTATTTTAATTAACAAATTCTATATTATCAAATATTTACTAAAAAATACAAATTTTTTTTTGTTTTTTTTTTTGTTTCCCAAAACCTTCCTTGCCAAGTTTGTGTCAAAATTGTACATCCATGTCCCCTGTCGTGACTTTCCGTCTGGCGCCTCTGTGTTCATTGCTATTTTTCTCTGATCAGAGCCCAAAATAGCTACCTTCCTTCTACTTACTGCTGCTTTTCTTCTGGTACACTATCTCCACTCTAAAAACCTTCCTTCTTCTTCTTCTCCTCTCTTTTTTTATTATTATTATTAATTTATTTATTTTTTGTCATTTCTCTCAGAACACACTAACACGAAAAATTAGAAGCGTGATCTTCCGATAAAGGACTGATTTTTCAAAAGAAGAAGAGACATCTTGATCGTTGGTGCCTTACAACCATGCATTGTAGCTCGGGCGTTGCGGGGAGAACGCGTTCTAGAAAAGCCCCATTCGACAAACAACAAAACTCGCATAATGTGAAAAAACAGAGCAACGTTGACCACAAATGGGACGACGAGGTTGTTGATCTCAGTTTCGACGACGACAACGATGTCATTGTTTTTGATGAAACTGAACAGGAGAGCGAAACTAGTCACAGCGAAAGCGAAACTAGTTACAGCGAAAGCGAAATTAGTGACAGCGAAAGCGAGTATTCGGATGAAGAGGTGTACGAAGCGATAAACGATGATGTTGAAAGAAGAAGAAGCATGGGCAGGGCGAAAAGGGAAACGAACGCGAAAATGATTGATTTTGGAGTGTGGAGGAGGAAAGCTTACGGTTTGGATTTATTGATAGATGAGAATGCGAGAGATGAGTGTAGTTCTTCAGCACAGAGGACCCGTTCTCATTTTCTCAGGAACAAGAAATTGAAGATGGGGACTTTTAGTCAACCTATTTGTCTCGATGAAGAGGATGAAGAGGAACAGTCTCTCACTGACACTACTGTTGAACCTGATTTGGGTGAAACAAATATTTATGAGTTAAGTGTGCGCAAAGTGCATAAGAAAGGGAAGATGGGGAAACTTTCTAGGAAAAAACACATTCATGATTCACTAGATTTTCATGTGTTTGAGACTCTTCAGGATTGTATTAATGGGAAGGTAATAGGCCAGGAACCTAAAACAAATATGGATTTTCCACCCAAGTTTACTTTTATAGGTGATGAGGATGAAGAGCAACCAACACCGGAGAAATCGGAGATATCAGAGAGATCAAAGATTGAGAAGGAATTAGATGAAATTTGGGATGAGATGGCCTCTTGTCTTAATGCTAGCCAAGATAATTCTGGTGGTTTTGTTGAAGAAAAATCTAGTGGCTGTAAGAGGGATTGGCTTAAAGAGGGAAGTGTTTTTGTTGAAAAAAAATCAAGTGGTTGCAAGAGGGATTGGCTTGAAGAGGAAGGGGGTTTTGTCGAAAAAAAATCTAGTGGTCACAAGAGGGAAGGCTATGCATTCCCGAAGAAGAAACAGGTCCATGATATAGAAGATTTTGGTGTTATTAACATTCTTCAGGATTCTATTTATGGTAAGGGAGAGGTGCCTGTGGAGGCTAACGATGATGAACTGAATCCAAAAATAGATTTACCACCATTGAAATTTACTTTTCTAACTGAGGAGCCACAGCCAGTGGAGAAGTCAGAATACGAGAAAGAATTAGATGCACTTTGGATTGAGATGGACTATTGTCTCAATGCTACCCAACACAACTCTATTCCTCCTTCTCAGGTTAGTTGGCTTGTACATACTCAAGGGCCATGGCATAAAACTCATCTTCTCCTTTCATTATTTTTCTCTGTTTGGCTCAATTCGCTTTGTTCTTTCTTTTCGCCCGCCATGTAGCCCGGGGGTTACTTATTAGGCAAAATTGATGTATATTATTTTCTGACAGCATGAACTCCTTATATATTACTTATTATGCTAATTTGATGTATATTAATTATTTATTTGTGGATTTTAGTCTTTATTCTGGAATTCTTGAGTGAAAGTTTTGGACCGGAAGTTGTTATAAGTGATGTTATGAATATATTGTATGTACACATTTCCTGCAGTGGGTGCCTTAAAGAAATTCTTAATTTTCAGAAGTCTGTTTTTCTATGTTGCAAACATATTTCATAAGATGAAGAATGGGATGGGACATGTAGATGTAATCTCCTTCTTGAATATCTGAGTTATCTAAAGGCTAAACGAAACCCCCAGTATAAGTTCGTTTACAACTTTCCCTTGTTTAATATACTTAGGCACATACAAATAGGTTTAATCACTGTGCTACTGAACTAAGTTTTTATTTTATTATGTTTTTTTTTTTTTCTGGATTCAAGTTTCTGTTCCTTTAGTCCATCTGTGTTTGTGAGTTAGCGCTTGCCCATTTATAATTTCGGTGGAACTATAGTTGTTTTGTTTATCAGCAGGTTCAAGATAATATTGATTTTGATCATGATCAATATCCATTGGATAAAGTTACAACAGCTACTCTTTGTCGTCAAGGGAAGCATCATCTCATTCTTAATGAGGAAATTGGACTTTTATGTGCATATTGCCCACATGTCCAATTGGAGATTAAGTATATTTTACCTCCCTTGGTGAGTAATTTGCTTTTGCTCTAATTTCAATATTAAGGAAAATGATTTCTTTTTTTAATAGGACTTCCATCCCCTCCCCTTGCACTAATTTTGTTTTTTCTAGGGGGCCCGGGGTGTAAGTTGGAATTATTGATCTTAAAAATAGAATGCTTCCACCTTCTTATGGATCACTGGCAACTAATTAGTGTTGGTGATTAAGTTAATTAAATTTTACCATTTCTGGGTATTTTTTTTATTTTTTTTTAACACAATAATTTCTATTCTTTGCTTGCAAATTTAAATGTGCAAAATTTGTGGTCATCTGAGCTAGGACTGTTCTTCTTTACCCTAATAATAACATAGAATTTATATGGCATAGCAGTTGAGTGCAAATATTTTTGTGGATTTTACGTTTTGAGAAAACTATATCTTGTGATACTTAATGCATGTCAGTTGTATTTTGTCATGGGAAATGGCTGTGGTTATTAGTCAAGCTGTAAAAAATCATTTTACATAGTAAATTGATTATCTTAACATGTGTGTATGAGAACAGTTATTCTGAAATTCTTCTGTATTCAACTCTTCACTTCCCAACCCAACTAATTGTTTTTCAGCTAATCAAGATATGTTCATATGCAGTGTGAAAATCCATATGGAAAATCAAACAGGAGAGACTATTGCACTTTCGACCCTATGGACCAGTCTGTCTTCGATGAGCTCCGGCATGGAATTGTTGGACATGATGATTATAATCTCTGTGATTACGCTGGGACAGTGTGGGATATAATTCCTGGAGTGAAAAAGACAATGTATCCTCATCAGTGTGATGCTTTCGAGTTTCTCTGGAGTAATTTAGCTGGTGGAATTTTTCTTGATAAGTTGAAAAAACAGAAGGATTTTCCTGGTGCGAGTGGATGCATTATATCTCATGCTCCTGGGACAGGGAAAACCCGTCTTACCATTGTATTTCTTCAGACATACATGGAGTTATATCCAACGTGCAGACCAATGATTATTGCTCCTAAAGGGATGCTTCTTACATGGGAAGAGGAGTTCAAAACTTGGAAGGTTGACATTCCCTTTCATAATTTGAACAATTCTGACTACTCTGGCAAGGAGAGTGAGGAAGCTATGAATCTTGTTAGGAATTCTTGTCGTAATGTCTCAACCAAATTAGCTAAGTTGTATTGTCGTGTCGCTAAGTTGTATTCTTGGAAGTGTAACAAATCCATCTTGGGAATTAGTTACAAACTGTTTGAGCAACTTACTAGTCAGAGCTCCAATGACAAGGAGTTGAGGAAAGTCCTTCTTGAACATCCTGGTTTATTGGTTCTTGACGAGGGTCACACTCCTCGTAATTCCCATAGTCTTATATGGAAATCCGTCTCAGAAATCCAGACAAAAAGACGCATCATCCTCTCTGGAACTCCCTTTCAGAATAATTTTGATGAGCTATACAACACACTTTGCTTGGCGAGGCCTAAGTTTGCTGAACGGAATCTATCCGGAGGAGGCAATGTGGTATTTGATGACAAGCGGGGGAATCCAAGAAACGAAAGCAAAGGGAAATGGGTGCATTTGACCACTTCATATGGAAAAGTTTCTGATGATAATGGAAGATTTGAGATATTGAAAGAGATCAGAGACATGATTAGTCCTTTTGTTCATGTACACAAGGGAACCATACTACAAGAGAGACTACCTGGGTTGAGGAAGTTAGTAGTTTTTTTAAAGCCTACACAGTTGCAGAAGGAAATTTTTGAGGATATTCAGAAAAAAAGGACAAGCCTTGCTCAGGGAAAGATATACTTGAATGTGCTGAAACTAGAATATGAGGAGTCTGTAGCTGCTGTTCATCCCGCGCTCTTCAGTCTATCCGAAGGCAAGGAGAAGTTCCAACGGTTTAGATTGAATCCTGAGGAAGGTGTCAAAACGAAATTCTTAATGGAACTTATCAGACTTTGTGGGCTTGTGAATGAAAAAGTTTTGGTTTTTAGCCAATATATTGATCCTTTGAATCTTCTGGCAAGCCAGCTTAAATATCATTTTGGTTGGAATCAAGGACGAGAGGTGCTAATAATACATGGAAAAGTTGAAGTAAAGCTGCGTCAAGCTTCAATAAAAGCTTTTAACGATCCCAGTAGCAATGTAAGGGTGATGCTAGCATCAACAAAGGCTTGTTATGAAGGTATCAGTTTGGTTGGTGCCTCAAGGGTTGTTTTACTTGATGTTGTATGGAATCCCTCAGTGGAGAGGCAAGCAATAAGTCGTGCTTATCGACTTGGGCAGAAGAAATTCGTGTACACTTATCATCTCATCACAGCAGGGACAATGGATGAGGACAAATGTTGTCGTCAAGCTGAGAAAGATCAGTTATCAGAGTTGGTGTTCTTTAATTCCCATGGTGATGGTGCTCAAAAATTCTCATCCCTAGAATTAGAAGATCGAATCTTGGAAGACATGGTTCAACACGAAAAGTTTCAACATATATTTGAAAGAGTAGCTATTAACCATTAAGAAACAAACTCTTGGTTTAAACTTTTTGATACAGGCAAACTTCTTATGCCTGTTTTTTTTGGGGTACATAGCTTCTTCATATGGCTTTTGATGCCAATGTGGCCTTTTGGTTATATTTGGATATGTATTTTTTGTATATGGTTTTCCTTAGAAGCTTTTAGATGTGTTAATCCTGTTTAATCTTTTTGAAAAGTGACACAATGAAATTATCATATGAACTGTACGAGATATTTATTAGTTATAGTTATATTTCTCCCGTTACATGACTCCATATAATGTTACTTGTTAGTTACATTTATGTTTATGATAGCAAAACTACATACGTGGGTGGAAAAAATTTCCGTTGCCGGGACTTGAACCCGGGTCTCTCGGGTGAGAGCCGAGTATCCTGACCAACTAGACTACAACGGAATGTTGGTTCCAATTGGGCCAAATAACATTAAGACCTTTATAAAAAAGGATTCCTATAAATAACAGAATCGATTAGGGTTTCTCTACATTGCCTGAGGCTTACGGTCACACGAGGGCAGCACCTTCGATCCAGAAAACATGGTACTCTTTTCCCTTTTCATTGTCACTATAATCATCTTACCCTAGTTTTTGATGTTACCTTCCTCTAGTTCTTAAGATAAATCTAAAATTTTTGTTTCTGATATGAAATAAATAAAAGTATGTTTCACTTTTCTCTGCTTTTTTTTTTTTGAGCATCGAGCTGTAAGCTGATACAATCCCTTTAATGCAGACTAAGAGAACGAAAAAGGCAGGCATTGTTGGAAAATATGGTAAGTTTTGTAATTATGCTTTTTAATGAAGCCTAATTAGCTCTTCGCGTTTCCAGATTTTGGCTTTTCAACTTGTTAGGGATTATTTTTTTAAGATTATTTGAATAGGATATGGATATTCTTATATATAAGAAACTGCTGCCTGCACTCCCATTTCTCATAAAGGAAAAGCTATCTGGCTTTGATTTTGTATGTAGCCTTGACTTCATAAAATATGCGGGGGCTTGGTGTAAGGCAATTGTTATTGATTATGCAATATTGTTAAAAGATTTGAATGTTTAATGGGTACAAAAGTTGCTGAAACACTTGCTATTTGGAGTGCAATAAGCATCGGTGATGCTGGTATTTTAGGCAATATTAATGTGCCTGATATCTCTTTGTTCTTTTTTTTTTTTTGTTTTTTTTTGAGTAATCTCAAGCATATCTTTTGGCAATAACCGAAGATTAATATTTAGTCGGACCTTTTTTTTGGGGGGCGAGCTCTCTCAAATCATTTTTTTTTCATTTTTCGGCCTCGAACTCGAGATCTCTGATTAAGGAGCCCAGATTCCTTACCACCTGTGCCAAAAGAGTTTGGTGATATCTATTAGTTCTTAACCGGTTCATTGTTTGAAGTATTTACGGGGAACAATTCTCTTTATCATCAAGAAATTTGGATTGAAGTATGGGGCATTGAATGTACATTTTTAAAGACATTAGTTTTCTTGGATTAAAGTCTTGAGAAGCCATATTTTGACGTATTTTCTTATGTTAGGTACCCGATATGGCGCTAGTCTGCGGAAGCAGATTAAGAAGATGGAAGTTAGTCAACATAGCAAATTTTTTTGTGAATTCTGTGGAAAGGTAGATCTTCTATATTATATCAATGCTGAATTGACCTTGTGTTTTCTGATTTTTATCATTTGAAAACCTAACCACGAGTCATTCATTATTAGGTTAATTCGAACATTGTTCTTAAAAAAAATGATTTGAATTCTAATGTTGAACTTACCAACCCAACTAATTTGGGATAAAGATGTGATTGATGTTGATGGGAACTTATTTGTTGCAGTATGCTGTGAAAAGGAAGGCTGTAGGAATATGGGGGTGCAAAGATTGTGGTAAAGTGAAAGCAGGCGGTGCCTACACTTTGAAGTAATTCCCCTTCTACTTCCTTTACACTTTGAAGTAATGCCCCTTCTACTTCCTTTCTATATATATATATATATATATATATATAGGAAAAGGATCCGTTTACAAACTCTTACAAATTACACTATGCTCTCTCGGGAGAACATAGTGTAGTTTGTAAGAGTTTGTAAATATAACCTGTCTCATATATATATATATAGGAAAAAACATTTCTACAGTCACTTTAGATAAGGTTATCTACAGCTAGTCTCAAAACTACGTCGTTTTGATTAATGAAGGGTGTTTTTGTAATTTTAGGTGAGTTAATGAAGGGTGTTTCAATAAAATGCATATGATAAAAAACTACGAAAATATCCTTCATTAATTCATCTAAAATTACAGAAACACTCTTCGTTAATCAAAACGACGTAGTTTTTGGGGTAGCTGTAGATAACTTTATCTAAAGCGGCTTAACCCATATATATATATATATATATATATATATATATATATATATATATATATTGTCAAATAAACCAGCTGACTTTGTTCTTCACTTCACTATTTTGACAGTACTGCGAGTGCTGTGACTGTACGGAGCACCATCCGGAGGTTGAGGGAACAAACTGAGAGTTGAGCCTTTTGATTGATGCAAGATTTTGAACAAATAGACTTGAGAACTTATTGGATTATGTTTATGTTCGGAGAGCCGTATTGTTTTGAATGCAGTGTGAACTTTGAGTCATGTTCTTATCAGAGATTACCGCCTTACTTCAATTGCTTTGAACTGCTTTCTGTTTTTGGAGCAAAATTGCTTCATCGTTTTCTTCTGTCCTTTGTGAGTGGCTCATTGTCACTTGTCATGCTTTTCAAACCAAACTTTGACCTTAATTAGACGGTAAGTCCCTTGTATGATGATTGTTGAATACCAATCGACAAAGTTATCTAATCTCATTGTTCCTGCAAATAATATGGGCCTTGAAAGCTATTTTCCTACTAATCTTCTATTTTTTATTTTCATTATTACCAAATTACATTAGCAGTTTTTGGGTCCCATACAAGATAGTATTTTTGGCATATAAAATAAGCCATTTTTTTATACTTTAAATTTTAAAAGAATGATAATGATCACCATACCTTTTTTTCTTATTATTTTTTATTAAAAAAAGCAATAATGTAAATAGTTATACTATTATTAATCGTATATTAGAATGGAATGCTCTAAATTCTAAAATGATGAAATGAAGAGTCTTATAATTGAAATGCGTATAACAAGTTATTAACATGTTTTATTATTGACAGCAAAAATAATAATACAGAATTATGAAATAAACTATCATTTTTTTTTCTTCAAAAAAAGTATATTTTACTTTGTCAAAAAAATATGAAATAATAATAACAGTTTTTGACCCCCCAAAAAAATTTACACTGTTCAAACTTCTAAAAGTGTAGATTACTCAAATTTTAAGAGGCAGCTTCAATTTTTTTGTTTGGTTTAATAAAAACACTTCAATATGTTTAGTCGCCTGATTTTCCCTAGAAATAATTTCAGCACCATTTTGTTACGAACATTGAAATCACAACATCAAAAGTTAGCTTAAAGCGTGAGAGTGTCCAAGGCATTATAAACCTCACATTAGTTGCCTATACAACCAATGTGAGATCCGTAACATTGCCACCCTCTTTAAGAGCGACGTCCACAACGGCTTTCATTTTATCGACATTGACCCAATGGTAGTCATTTCCCTTTTGGCGGCTTCACTCATCAGTCGGTATTCAGTACAATACCACTTTTGGATATATAGCACCTTAATTCAGCCTATAAATAAATAGTCATTTCCATGGTTTTAACTCTCAACAAAAACACCAATTGTTACGAACCTTGAGGTCACCACCTCAAAAGCTAAAGGCTTTGAGAGTTAAAACCACAAAAAAGACTATCTATAGACTGGATTAAAATGTCATACCTCAGAAAGGGGTATTGTACTAAATATTGATAGATGAGTAAAGCCACTAAAACAAAAAAGGCTACCACCAAGTCAGTGTCGATAGAGTAAAAGTTATCGTGGACATCAACCTTTAAAGGAGGTGGCAATGTTACTGATCTCACATTGGTTGTGTATGCAACTAATGTAGAGTTTATACGACATTGGACACTACCACCCTTTGAGCTAGCTTTTAAGATAGTGACCTCAAGATTCGTAACACATTTTCTTGAATAAAAAATAAAATATATATTAAAATTTTCTTAATCATGTTAATATATAATATTAATAGGTGAAATAACATATCCTTTTTCCTTGGACAAGAAATTCTCTAGGAATAATTCCTATTTATAAAAATATTATTGGGACAGCATATATAATACATTTAATACCCTTCATACAAAATTTTGATTTAATGACGGCTGTTACCATATAGTTTATATGTAAATCCACCCTTCAACAACAAATTATTTTCACACCTATAATTAGGCTTCCATCATTACTTTGGTCGGAAGAAACAACTATTTAATATTAAGATGTCTGTTTTATATATGAATATTTTTTGTTTAATCGTGCGTGATTTTTCTCAGTCAGCTCTTGACCTGTTTGCCTCTCAATCTGAATTTTACACTATTTTTTGAATTTGTGACTACGTATGTTTGAATTGAAGAAAAGAAAAAAGATACAAGCCAAAACAGGGACTGTGTATGTTTGACTTGCAGCTGGCGAGAATAAGGAAACACCGTGATCCGATTGGGTGGGAAAAGTAGGTACTCTCCAAAGGAGAGGTTCAGCAAAATAACGTAGGAAATAAAAAAATGCCCTACGAATTAGGTCCATTTAGTCCATCTAACTCTTCACTGAGATGTTGAAGTCTTGTATTTCACCCATACAACATACGAGAAGAGAATATATTCATTCTTCCACATCAAGGGAGTATTTATGCATGTACACAAGCATGCGCATAGTGACAGTATTCACAAATCATACATAGACTCTGGGGACATATTGTATTCATATTCCATAGGGAAATAAACATCTCCTCTTGTAGGAGATGTTTCCTCTTATGCTGTAGAGACAAACAATTGTGGGTCCCACTGTTTTTAAAATAAAATAAAAATGAATGGCACAGTTTTAAACGTCTTACAGCATGAGAAGAACTTTTTCCAGCAGCAAGAGAAAGTTTAAACCCTATTACATATATCATCATCGATGTTAAGATAGGCGGGCTTAACATTATAGCAATTGAATTATAAAATCAGACTAAAAATGTGTGAAACCATCGAGGTCCAATCCACAAATTCAAGAGCTGCGTAAATGTGGGAGGGGAGGAAATGGAATAAAATAATATAAAATAGCAGGGGATCTGTAATCTGAGACAATCATAATCGACATGAAGTGAAACTAGTCGCAAGAATACAAATTGCAATAAGCAATTAAGAGTGCATTGAAGTACCTAAGCACTTGCTCATTGAACTTGAAGCTCACTGAATTCCAAGCTGGAAGTGAAATTAAGCACTTGCATGACATGTCTGCAATTTTCTTTACACACGCTCCTAAAACAAATAAACAGAGCTCTAGATTGTACTGATTTGGAAAGCTTATGATCAGCAACATGTTAGCAAAGAGTACAAAGAAAGACTTAAGACATGGGACATGAATAAACTCTTACTTTCATGGTAGCTTAAAATTCCAGTTTCATGGCTTGTGAAGCTTGAAGCCAAAAACTCTGGGAACATAGTTCTGTGATGGTTTCTGTGGCTTCAGTTGTCCATAAGTCATCAGGAACAGGTGAGGGAATGTAGCTCCAAAATAAGCTCCATCAATGTCTAGAACAGACTCAAGGAAATTTCGGAAGAACAGGATACAGTGAACCACCATAAATTTAAGCCACAATTAAATATTGCAATATATAAACACATGCAATCATTTCAAAATTCATATAGAATGGAAGCAAAACAAAGAATGAACACAATAATATTTGCCTTCATTTAAAGTATTCACTTTTCTGCAGTTTTTTTTCCACATAGCTTTTAGGATTTCCATGATTTTGATAATAAATATATGTTTCTAAACTTGAACGGGCCCAAAGGTTCCCAAATTGTCCTTTAAGCTCGAGATATACAACCAGCAGACAGCTGGAAGTGAAATTGCAGAATATAATTTTTCTCAAACAAAAAACAAAGTAGTGTCAAGAGATCTAGATTATGAACCCCAAACCAAACTATTAAGTCATTCATTGTTTGAACGTTACTCTCATATTCCATTATAGAACAGCTTAGTATTGTGTATGTTAGCAATGCATTCAAGTAAAAGAATTTTTTTCAGAATCAGTGACAAGAGTTCCCAGCCTTGTTCTTATAGACATTTAAATTGTTTACAAAGCAGTTTATGATCCACAAGAAAAAAAAATATATTCCAAGTTGTAAATAAACTAAATAATAGGCATCCTGTACTTCCCATGCAAGTGTTCTTTTCGCCTACTAACTACTTACTTTACAGTTGAGGGATAAAAAAATCGATCTAGAAGTCAAAACCAAGGAACCGGTGAGATGGGCAAAAGAATAAAACATAAATTTCTGAGAGACATGTTGAATCGTTGATGCATAATAAACTAAATCCCACACAAAATTTAATAATATATATAAGGATACTGCCTTGATACTTGGACCGGGGATAGTAAATGTCTTCACACCTAGGGCAGTATATTTTCACGGTACTAGATCTAGGAATGTCTGACTGACCAACAGGAAGGCAAGGTTGCCCAGAGCAGTAAACTCTTGGGCATCGGCCAAAATCATAGTTCTTGTACTTCTCGAGCTGCCAAAAATTCCAATATCATTAACAGTACCAATCTTAGAGGACGAGCTTCAAGCAGAGGTAAGACTGGTCCTTTGTGATCGAAAAATCACAGGTTCGAATTCAAGAAAATACCTCTTTGCAAAAATGCAAGGATAAAGTTACGTACAAGGCATTCTTCACCCCTATCCACGCAAGTCGGGCTTTCATGGGGAGTTATTTTTTTAATTAACAGTACCAATCTCATTGACAGTAAAGCAATAAAATAATAGTAATTAGAGACAGAAAAATCTTACCATGGCAGCCATTCCTTTGCCTGTCAATATGTACCGGGCATGAATCAGACCATAAAGCATCTCTGCTGCTGATTCAATTAACTCATTTTGTTCTTCTGTAAACATGTCACCTACACATTCCAACCAGTCCAATTTAATCTTCAAACAAAATGAAGTACAGAATGACCAAATACATAATCAGCACTACAGATATGCAAGTGTACAATTTGAATTCATGAAACACAAAAGAAATCCCGTAACTAGTATTCCGAACTTGTAAAGTCTGAAAAACATATACATAAGCTTACCATGAGAGGATTCAACATCCAAAATTAAATCCAGAGCATAATCATAATAAGGCACTTGACTGCTTAATCCGCATAGGTTGAAGTCGTCTTGGATGTAATCATCATCAACCTCACAAAAGAATTCATTTCCCCTCAAATTGCAGAACCATGAGATCCAAGATGTGTCATCTCCATCAGAACCACTAACATCAGACTCTTCACTGTCTGTTTCAGATTCCTCTGCAGCATTCCAAGTAAAATGAAGTTAAATTTAGGGTAGGGTATATTACACTATACCTCTCTAAGGGTGTTTTTTTTATCCAAATAAATTTCAGTATATCAAGTTTAAAACCTTAGGTTTTACCCCCTTCACGTTTCAAAAATATAAATTTTACAAAAATCCATCTTAGCTTTTCATGATTGGCCGTCCAATTACACGAATTTGATTCCAATTCTCCATGCTAGTCTTGGAATACATCATAGTAAAGGCTGAAGTTAATAGTAGTTTGACATATAGCATGAAATAATAACCTAACATCACCTAAGTAAACATATAATCATATAGTTAAAGAGGAATGAAAAATAAACTCAAGTATATTAATTGAAGAGATATCTGAAAAGGATTAAGACACACGTGGGGGATATGATTGGCATTAAAAAAAGAGATCAGATCGTAACAGAAAAGAAGAAATCGAACCATCAGAAGCGTTGGAATTCTTGGAGATAGGGGCAGAGGCAGAGGCAGAGCGAGAGTCTCTGTGATCCTTGGCGGTTATTACGGAGGAGGAGGACCTATCTTTGCCGTTGATGGCCCTCGATGTGGACGGCGAGGATCGTTCCAGCTGCTTATCGAGGACGTCGTTGATTCGCTTCCGATCAACGGAAGCCACCTCCGATTTGGATCCGACACCTCCTCTGTACATAACTCTTCCTTGCCTTTCCTCCTCGATTCTCACCCAATCATATCGTAACTCCAACGACAGCGTTTCGTTTCGTTTGGTTGTTTGGTTGGTTGGTGTTGCAGGGAAGCTAGGGTTTTGAGTTTCAGTTTCAGGGACAGATGCAAATTAAAATTCACAGACACGAACAACGATTCCCCATTTCTATTCTATTCCTGGTGGTAGATTATTTTTATTTATTTTTTTATTTTTTCCACATTTAGTGTTAGTGCTTCTGTTTCGGGGAAGATTTTTTTTTTAAGATATTTCTTTTTTTTTTGCACTAATTTTATTTTGTTTTCTTCGGTAGAGAAAGGCTAATATAGGACGCACATCAAAGGAGTATTCTCTGCTACGTGTTCTAATAAGATTCGAAATACATTTTCGCAAATGAGAGTCACGAGCTCCTTACTATTTGGATTAATCATACTAGGTCACTTTAATTTTTTTTTTTTAAATTCCATGTGTTATTGTATAATTGTCATTAAAAATGTAATTACGATCATTTTTTTACTCTAACCATGTGTTGAAAATCAATACATGGACAGAGAAAAGCTTTAAAAGCACATGATTTCCTTTTAGATGGTTTTTAGCCGTATACTTGGAAATACAATGAAATATATATATATATATATATATATATATATATATATATATATATAAATATAAATATAAAGAGAGAGAAAAAAAATCATTTGTCATTTTAAATGATGTTAATTGTGTCATTCTAAATGTTTATGACTATGTACTCTCCGGATCTCCAGAATACATAGTTATAATATTAAAATTATATTTTTTTCTCTCTCCTCAAAAGTTGTCAACTAATGTGAAAAATGAAAAAAAAAATATGACTTTAATATTATAATTATATACTCCCTGGAGTACATATTTATTTATTTATATATATATATATTACTTTTCCTGTTGTATTCAATTATTTTTTAAAGTAAAGAAACTCACCCATCAAATTTTTTTAATAGTCTATTGCTAATATAATTTTAGGCTAAGAGTGATGATTTAATAAAATTTCTTTCTGAGAGTGATAATTTTGGACTTTAAACCTTTAATATTAGAAGTAAGGTTTAATTGAAATTGACCTACTTCTGCTGTAACCAAATATACTTAGAGTCGGTTTGTTTGGGCTTTTAGAAAAATTAATTTTTATCTCTTTTTTATTTTAGAAATATTTTTTATAAAAGTTGAAACTATTTATATTTTTATAAAAATATTTAGCTTTTGACTTCTCTTCTAAAAAAAGCAAGTTTTTATTCTTTTTTTGTGACTTATGCTTTTTTTTAAAAAAAATAGACATCCAAACAAATTTAAAATGAGAAGTGATTTTTCTTCCTGAAAAAAAAGTTAATTTTTAGAAGAAAAAAAAAATTCATCCAAACGGACCCTTATATCATGAATCGAATTCATTTAATTGGCCACTTAGAATCTTTAATTGTTTTCATTTTTTTAATTGGCCACTTAAAATTACATATTTCTTAATGCTTAGTAGTTATTGTAATATCAATCCAATGGGATACCGTGCGGGCAGAACATAAGAACAAGCCGAAGGAGGGTATTAGCATATTATTTGCCAACCTTTTGCCCCAAATACTTGCATGTTAACAAGGAGGAAAATCCAACTTTTCAGAGTACTAATTTAGCTGTTTTGCTATTTTCTTTGTTGGGTGCTACCTTAGTTGTTACCCACCTTTTTTCTTTTCTCCTTATCGCCTTACATAACCCTAATCACTGTCCTTATCGATTTCATCTACCTTCCATGTCTCCTAATGCCTTAATAGGACACATTGCTCCCACCTCTCAATCTGTCCTCACTACCTTGTTCCTTTTATTTTTATTCTTATTTTATTCCTCTCTTTATGACTAAAGAAAAACCAAACTATGAAAGAACAAAATACGTCTGAGAAAGCAACTCTAAGAGGGCGTTTGGTTCAGGAAATTTTTTTGGAATAGTAGAGAAATGAGATAGATAGAGAAATGATTGGAAAGGTAGATAAAGTGAGATAGGTAGAAAAATATAAAAAAAAGTTGTTTGGTGGGGAAAAATTTTACTGGGAAAATTAGGTAACTTTATGAAATCAACAGTACATTAAAAGCCAGATAACTGGTTTTCCGAAAAATCTCACCTTCAAATTGGGTTTCTAAACAGTGCGGATATATATGTTTCTCATAAATCCAGACAAATTGGATAGATGGGTTTTTGGTAAAAAACGTTAAAACAAACATAGTGTTTCTAAAAGCCATACTTGAGAAACATAGATATCCGCTGAAAAGCTCCAACCAAACACCACCTAATGGAATTTTGGAATCTGATCATTTGGCTTACAGAACAATTCACCTTTCATTCCATTTGCTTGTTTTTCCAATATCTCCACAGTACTTTAGCTATTTAATTGAGGACACGCATTTACTCTCCAAAATACTTTTGCCACATTCTAACATAAAGTTTCTTCTGTTCATTGTGTTTTATTTAATATTGAAATCAAATTAAAATAATCTATTTTTATCAAAATTCCCTCCTATCTCAATCTAGTAACCAGAAATGGAAGCCCATCTTATAAAAGGTAAGAATGAATTACAATAGAGGGAATTCCATTCTGCTGCTGAAAGGTAGAAATATCCTCTACATCGATTCTAGTGTTACACATTCCATATAATAATAATCATCAGTAAAGCAATGCTTGACACGATGGACTTGAATGGAGCAATTGAAATAATTTACAAAGGGCTTTATCTGTCTTATATTTCTGCATAAATTTTGATTTTGAGCATGACCATCGATATTTATGTCTCATTTTCTTTTTTATTTTATTTTAAAAATAATAGACCCACAATAATAGTCTCTATAGCATAAGATAAAAATTGTGCAACAAATAAAGCCCATTCACAAAATCAGATTTATGAGCCCAAATCCATTGAGTTCAAGTCTATATATACAAATGCCAAGTAACATAAATTACAAAACATGAATTATAAAAATCAGCAGGGATGATGCACTAGTCGTCGAGATAAAACCATAACAACCATGAAATGAATGTAAGTATGAGAAAACAATTTGATACAAGCCATTACAAGTGCATTCAAATACCTAACCAAAAAAACCTATAACAATGTTTTACAAGAGCTCACTAAATTTGAAGCCGAAACAAAAATTAAGAACTTACTGCCTTGCTGGTCATGCCAGCACATATCTTTACAAAATATTCCGAAATGAATACAACAGTTATGTTCTACATTGTACTGATTTCCCAAACTGAAATACACCGACTTTTTCAAGAAATACAACAAAAGACCGAGCTAAACAAGACATGCGCAGACTCTTACTTTGATGTGAGCTTGAATTCCATCCAGCTTCATGGCTTATGAATTTTAAAACCAAAAACTCTTGGAACATAGCTCTGTGACGGCTTTTGTGGCTTCAGATGCCCGTAAGTCATCAGGAAGAGGTTGGCAAACGTAGTTCCAAAATAAGCTCCATCAATATCTGGATGCAGTTAAGGAAATTTGGGTACAGGGCATTACGTTCCATCATAAAATTTAACCCAAAATTATATGTCAATACATAAAGTAACATGCAGGCAATCCAAAAAAAAAGTCTTGAGAATTTAGTGAACAGAGAGGTTTTGAATTTGAAGAGAGGTTTTGAATTTGAAACACTATGATGTGTTTGAGTAAGCACCTATTAAAAATGGGGGAAAAGGTCTGCATAGATACATGATAGACACGGTATTTTAAAACTCTAATCATCATTTCCATTATATGACTAACACTAGTTATGAGTTCCTGGTGCTATTTTTCTTGATAGTTAACCGCATATAGGAAGGAATTTAGGGTCAACATACAAATATCTTTTTTACTTTTTTCAGATTGCAATTAATAAAAAATAAAAAAGACACACACACACACACAAAGAAAAAAAAGTGTTTCAAAGACAAGGGGACTCATTGGGTGACAGAGAGTAATTAAAAATAAAAAATAAAATCTTAGAGACATAATAAATGAATGACAGGAGCTCAACAAGAGACATTATCAAAGGATACTACCTTGATACTTGGACCGCGGGTAGTAAATGTCTTCACATCTGGGGCAATATATTTTTACAGTACTTGACCTAGGAATGTCTGACTGGCCAACCGGAAGGCAGGGTTGTCCTGAGCAGTAAACTCTCGGACATCTGCCAAAGTCATAGTTTTTGTACTTGTCCAACTGTATATAATCCAATGTCAATACTACAAATGCTAACTTTATTAAAGCGTGAAAGAAGGACAACTGGCAGGAAAATCATACCATGGCAGCCATTCCTTTGGTTGTCAAAATGTACCGGGCATGAATCAGACCATAAAGCATCTCTGCTGCAGATTCAATTAACTCATTTTGTTCTTCCGTTAACATGTCACCTATGCATTCCATTCAAATTGACCGATAGTATCAGTCAAACAAACAAATTACAGAACAGCCAGATAGGTAATGAAAGCTACAGTGACATCAGTGTACAATTTGAATTCAGCTTTGAGGCAAAATAAATGTCCACGATTCAGACAGAATACAATACACTAGTAGCATGTGACACATATGTTTTTGCATGGCATACCATCACGTCCCTTGTATTCTAGACTTAATGAATACTAAAACCACTCCCCATTAAATCCCGACTAGCGTGGGTATGAGTGAGGAAAATCCTTGTACGCAGCCTTACCCTTACATATTTGCAAAAATGTTGTTTCTTTGATTCAAACCCGTAACCTATCAATCACAAAGGAGCAGCTTTACCACTGTTCCATACTCACCCTCTCAGACTTAATGGATACTAGAAACACAAAAATAAGCTTACCATGGGAGGACTCAACATCCAAAATCAAATCAAGTGCATAATCATAGTAAGGCACTTGACTGCTTAGTCCACAGAGGTTGAAATCATCTTGTATGTAATCATCTTCAACTTCGGAAAAGAATTCATTTCCTCTAAGATTGCAAAACCACGAGATCCAAGATGTGTCATCCACATCGGAACCACTAACATCTGATTCTTCACTGTCTGATCCGGATTCCTCTGCATTCAACACAAAAGAAAACAGGTCAGCTACTTAAAGTTAGTCTCAGTGGTTCTATGTCAGGAAAGGCCAATCTCCCACACATATTCTCCTCTTTCTTTGTCAGCTCTCACCTGAATCTATTCGACACCAATTTCTTCGGTGCAATTCTTGTTTTCTTTACAAATTTTATGTTGCATTGCAGAAATAACTTAAAAATAACATAAACCGAAAGCAATACTTTGCATCAGAAGACAATGTAAAATCACCCCCCAAGTACTGGTCTTTACAAAAACTTAATCTTGGAAAAGTAAACATCTACCAAAACAGAATTCATCAAATGAGGAGAAACCAATATGAATGAACATACATAAGAACAGGTAAGGTGCTGTTTGGCAGGACGAAATTAAGTGGAGAGTGGAGACCCTAACAAAAATAAAATAAACAAATAAAGAATCCACAGTAAAAAATGTGAGATTTCTATCATGTCCAATACAGAACTAATAGCATTGCATCCTCTTATTTTTAAGCTAAAAGTTACTTATAAGCTAAAGCTAAAAAAAAGAGCTTAAAAAAAAGAAGCTAGAAGCTGTTTGAAAATTACATAAAAGTTTTAGCTTAAAAATGACTTAAAAGCACATATTTCAAAAAAATTATATCTCTATGTCTTTATCACTCTTCATTTAAAAAAAAAATCACACAATTTAAAAAAAACAGATAAGAGAGCTTTTAATTTTTAGCTTTTTTTCTTCGTTATAAAAAAAGAGCTTTTCATTTTCATTACAAGAGCTTTTCATAAAATCTGTTTGGCTTGACTTATGCGTATAAGGAGTTTCTAACTTAAAAAAAAATCCAAACAGGCGCTAATTGTTTTATTCTTCTTTTTCTAAAGAATGAAAAATAAAACACACAAACACACACAAAGAGAGAGAAAAAGTTGTAAGACTAACGATGAGAAGCGTTGGAGTTCTTAGAGAGGGAGTGAGAAGGAGAGTGATGATTGGGTAATAAGGATTGGGCCTTGATGGGCCTAGAAGTGGAAGTGGAAGTGGAAGGCGTGGATCGCTGCAACTGCTTGTCAAGAACGTCGTTGATTCGCTTTCTCCGATCAACCTCCGACTTGGAACCACCACCTCGCTCTTTGTTGCTATACATGATAGTACCGTCTCCTCCTCCTCCTTCTTCCTCACACATATGACCTAACCCTAACTCAACCAAATCATGATATCAATTTCACCCAAACAGAGACTCTGCAGTTGAGTTTCTCTCTCTCTCTCTCTCTGTGTGGGGGTTTTAACAAAATAACAAATGTATACTTTGTTGTGTTAGTGTTTCTCTGACATTTTAATTATGAAAGATTGGAATTTTTGTTTTTGTTGGCATTTAATGTTACTCTAACTCTAACCCTATCGCTATCAAACATGCCTCGCATGTGATTAGCATATTTAGCGGGACCACTTTTGTCTCTTCTCTTGCCTACGTGTCTCTGTTACCTCTCCTCGTCATATCCCTGTTCCACAAAAATATTTTCGAAAATATGAATGTACCGATACATTTTTTTTACCAAATATCAAAAAAGTAATATATATTTTTTTAATATAAAAAAAAAACATATTTATACTATTCTTATCTTTACTTTACGGTTATTTTTTCTATATCTCTATTTTTTTCTCCTTGATAAAGATGCTATTTCTATTATATCCAAGATTTGGTCCATGTTCCACCCCCAACGTGGCTTTTGCTTATTGTTAAGGAGGTGTTTGGTTGAAGCTTTTTAAATATTTCTCCATGCATTTGACTTTGGCAAAGTAGTCTATGTTTGGTAGAAAGATTTGAAACATTTCCACATCTTTGCTATTTGCATGGCCTTTTATAATTGTTTGTTAAAACTGAAGCCAAGTTACTAGTGAGAAAGACAATTTAGAAGTAGTATTTTGTATTTATCTGGATAAATATTTCAACACATGTTCAAATTTAAATTTTACACAAATATTCAACTGGCACTGTTACTTTAAAGTAATTTACATTCAAAAAAATTTAAAAAGGGGTATTTTAGTAATTGTAACTCATTTTTTCATTAATATTTTAACTCAAACCAAACATAGACTTCATAATATTTATCAAATTTTTCCGGTAAAATTTCTTCCAACCAAATAACATTTTTTACATTTTCCTATCGAACTCACTTTCCAATTATTTTCCTAGTAATTACATTTTCCTAGTATTCAAAAAATTTCTCCTTAACCAAACGCCCCCTCAGATGGACTGCTAAAGAGCCAAAGATTAAATTTTAAAAAAGGTAAAGTTAGAGAGTTTTTAAGTTGCTATAGTATTTGAGAGTATATATATATATATATATATAGGGACAGGATATTCTTATATCGGTGTAAGAGTTAGAAGTCTTACACTCAATCTTGACCATTGATCCACTTGTATCCAATAGCTCACATTACTAAAGAATTTGAGCCCTTAAATATAAGTAAGATTAATAGACAAGATTAAGAGTGTAACTTACACTAGTGTAAAATCATCATGACTCACATATATATTAGAAGTTTATAATCCCATTTATACTCTTACATAACGGCAAGTCTATACTGCACTCGTACTTTACTGTTCCGTTGTGCTCATGTGTTATGAAAGTTAGTTGGAGTGGTGTGTAGGTTAGAGTTCAAAGGGATGTCCAGAAATTTACAGAAGACCAAGAGGATTATTAATGGTCATGTTGACTTATAGCTGACATTACATTTTCTTACTAAGATATAGCACAAAAGATTGGGTTCAACGAGACTATTCCCTTGCAAACTAATTAACTAAATTGGTATCCATTGGCACGTTTAATGATATCTTACTATATCATTTAATGAGTTTAATAATACATAAATTTTTGAATTTATTGAATAATGTGGAAATACACCAATTACATGCATCAACTAACAGGAATTCTTTCAACTTAATTGATTATCTTTTGTTCAAGCTCTAGGGACATAATAAGTAGCGGATTCAGAAAATTTTGTTTATGTCTGCACATTTAGGGCTAGGATTCGGGGGCAGCGCTAGGGGTGCTAAACAAATCAGGAGCCTTTGGCTTATATGTCTAAAATTGGTTGTTGGAACTAAGTTTGAGCTCATATAAAAGCTCGTTTAATAAAAAGGCTTCAGACTTCAATTCAAAAGCTCGGCCTTAGAGCCTCTCAGGCTTTTCTGATATACTAATTTTTATTTTTATTTATATATTTTATACTATTCATAATAGCGATCTCTCTCTCCTCAACCCATTTCATCACATTTTATTGGTTAAACAGACTTTTTGAATGATTTTGTTCTATATTATGCTTTTTGGATGAACATTGAATTTATGAAATTTTGTGAAATTATTAGTAGTGTGGATCATATATTTTGTTTGAATAAATTTTTGTTGTTTTATTTTTTTAAACAGCTAAATCATGCTTTTATTTTTCGTAAATAAGCCAGGCCACAGACCGATAATTATATTCATAATATGTAACAGGTTATGTCAGGCTAAGACATTTAAACACAGGCTTAGCCTTTTAAGATCAAAGCTCGGCTCGGCTCGGTCTGTTAACACCCCTAGGAAGCGCCCCCGAAGATTTTTTTTAAAGAAAATTTTAAATGTATTAAAAAAAATATAAATAAGAAAAGAAAAAAAAAGAAAACTTTAACTCAACATAAAAATAATAATAACCAAGAGTCAACTAAGCTGTTACAATAGAACGATCATAAAAGCATTCTTCGATTCTTCATTCCTTGAAAATATTGCATTATATATTCATCATCAATCTTATCAAATGTATCACGTTCAACATAAGTTAGCATGCATGCGTTAAACCAATTTTAAAATTTTGCGATTTTTTTTACTCAAAACGATTTCATCAAAATTTCAAACACTTTTACGATTTCTTTTACGTTAAGATTTTATGTTTTTGATTTTTTATCCTCCTTCCGATTTTTTATGGTAAAATTCGGATTTTAACTACCATGATTGGGCCTATGTTTACTTTTTTCTTTTCAATCTTCCTACATCTTTTTTTTTTACTTAACCTAAATCACCCACCCCTTTGAAAAAAAAAAATTCTCAAACTTTTGTAGGAAGCAAGGTGCGTCCGGCATTAGACATAATTGTGTTAATAATTTAACATGGAGAGCTTTAGGACATATGGTCCTACTCGACTTAAACCGGTAATGAAATTTGAAAAGAAAAAATAAATTAAAGTCTTCATAAAATATAAAATAATTCAAAAACTAAGAACTATATATTTGTTGGACCTAATCACCGTTGATTTCCGTCAATCTAATGGTTATAATTTAATTAATTAATTTTCAATAAATTGTAACCGTTAGATTGACAGAAATCAATCGTGATTAGGATGATTGTAAATGTGGTAAATTTTTTTAGTGGTAAGTATATCCTTCCCCTTTAAAAATTAAACGTCTCTACGTTTCAACCAAAAAAGGAGAGATGTTTCTATGTTGAATTTAATTTTAATGTACAGTAAGTCTAAAATAATTTACAATTACATCAAATATGTGTTACCATAATATGAATTTAACATCTCATGTTAACATAATTGAATTTATAAAATGAGATATTGACACAAGAAAAAAATATTTTATGTATCAAAATTAAAGTCTTAGTGCTAGTGGGGGAATAAAATTCACATAGAAAGAAAAAGAGTATCAAATTTGTTATATGCTTACCTATAGGAGATGAACACTTCCATAATATTTATGCTTTCCATTTAAAATATATTCATCCAATGTAAACTGTTGCAACGATGTTCAACATAAATTTATACTTGACTTTAATTGAAGAATTTAATGTGAAAGCACTATTAATAAAAAAGATTTTTTATTTTCAAATTATTTAATAAAAGATTAACAAATACATTAAATAATAAAATAGTAAAGCTCTTTTTGGATCCTTAACAAAAAAATACAATCTTCACTTTCGTCCCTTATCAAAAAAAGTTAACTTTTGGTCTTTTTACAATTTCAGTTCTTTGAAAATATGGTTCATCAGAAATTCAATAAAGACCTTATTTAATCCCTAAAAAAGAATTAACATGGATATATTATTTTTATAAGAGACTAAGGTGAAAATCATATTTTTTATTAAAAATTCAAAAGCCAATTTACTCATAATATAATATGAAATAGAGAAAAATGTGTATTATTTTAAAGGACATAAAGTTGTGTCATTTTAAGTGAGATAAAAAGATAAATCATAAAAAGAAAGAGTGGGGGAAAAGTTTTAAAGATGTGGATCCCACTTTTTTATGATAGTGAAAGGATATAAGAAATGTCATTTAAAATGACACACTTTTTTCCTATGTAATAACACATAATTGTGAGTAATTCCATATCCCCGTCCTGTGCGTTTCGGGTGAGCTTGTCCATTGTAGACATTCAAGTACAAGAGGTTACAATAATCAAACAAAATTTAATTTAAGAAAATAACACAAATGAAAAGTCACATTGCTTCTCTTCACAAAAGACAACATAAGATTCAACGCTAGATCACCATCATAACAGCTTTTATGGAAAATGTTTCCTCTAAATCCTTCAGGGGAGAGTTTGGTACAAGTGAAAATTTTAGTTCACCGGGAAAATATAATTATCAAGGATTTACAGGAAAAGTGAATTAGATAGAAAAATTAAAAAAAAATTGTTTGGTTGAGCCAAATATTATCAGGCAAATTGATTAAAGTTTTTGAAACCTATGTTTGGTTGAGAATAAAATATTGATGGGTAAATGATATAAAATTACAAATATAATCCCATAAAGAAAGTGAAACCTTGGCACTTTAGATGAGAGTATTTAGGACTGCTAGTAGGTTGCTCTTTTGTCATTTAGCTGGCTAAATGTAAAATATCACCTGCAAATTGTCTTTACAAATAGTAACTTTTGCTTGCTTTCTACGAACAAATAAAGAATGCTATGCAAATACAACACTTAAGAAAATTTTGTTAATATTGATTTCTTACTTTGCCAATTTAATTTGCATAGGTAAATTTTAAGAAATCTTGAACCAGACAGCACCTTATATCATTTTCCCTCACATTTGGGTTAAGTAGTAAAATAAAAGTCGAGGTAGGTAGAAAATGATTATTTATGATCAATGGTAATTTTTCTGAGTACACTAACGAAATCCCATTTATTTACATTACAAACAATTTCACTCACACATTATCATCTCTACGAGGAAACTATGCACTCTCCTTATGTGCAAGTATCTTTATCGAAATAGTGATTGGTTTATACAAGCAGTGGCATAGCCAGCAGGTGCCTTTGTTTTTTTTTGTTTTTTACTTATTATATAATTAATTAAGGTAAAACTTATAATTTGGCATCACCTAAATAGAAAATCAAATACTCAATACAAAGTAACAACAAAGGGTTTTATAATTTTCATTTAACATGAGAATTCAAATTTTCCTACACACCCTTCGATTTCCGTACTGACATGGATCCTACATATAATTTTTTCCAACATATGGGTCCCACATGTTTTTTAACTCTACAAGATGATAATTGAATTCTCATTTAACATGAGAAAATCAAACTCCAACAACAAATCATCTAAATGCAAACAAATAATAAGAAACATGTATAGTATGGTTATTTTTGTGTTTTACCTTTTTTTATTATTTATCCTGTATATTTTTTTTGCTTTATTTTTTTTTATCCTGTGCATTGTCCAAATCATCTTAAGTTATTTATTCTTCCTCCTATTATTTTAAGAAAGAAAGACTTCTAAACTTAATCTATTTCAAAATATAGGCCAATTAAACCAAATAAACACATTTAAAAGTAGGAAAAAAATATTTTGTCCTTTTAAAGGACACAAGGTTGTATCCTTTTAATTTTTGACATTATATCTTACCTGTAAAACATAGTTAGAATTTTTTTTTATGTCCTTTTAATTTTTGACATTATATCTTACCTGTAAAACATAGTTATAATATGAAAAAAAATTCTATTTCTTCAGTCACTTCAGCTGACGTGGAGTAAAAAAAACTATTTTTTATGTTATAACTATGTCTTACCGGTAAGACATTGTGTTAAAAACTAAAATGACACAATTTGTGTCCTTTAAAAGAACAACCACTTAACCCTTGAAAGTAACAATCATGAAACCAAATGAATAACAGGACTATAATTATGGAATATGAAGGTCCATTGAACTATTGTGTTTTGGGTGATTGCACACAAAGAATAGTCAAAAACCTAATTCCCAAATGTTAGAACTTTCCTTCTTGTATATAACTATATAAGTAATTATAATTGGACCCTAGCTAAAATTGTAAGTTGACCCTAACTAAAATTGTAATAGTAGTAACAGATGAAGATATGGAGTTGCTTTCCGTGTATGATTAGATAACATATTTCTTTCTTCTTCTTTTTTGGTATGCATATTTCTTTCTTCTTAATTTCTTCTTCTTCTTCTTTCATCTTTTTTCAATTGAGTTTTTCTTCTAACCTTTTTTTCTTATTCGCACTCACCACCGGGAACCCAGCCATTCTGCGACAAGGCACGATGTTTCGTTCCTTTCTTCAAGATTTTACGGATACCTGCTCTTGGGATATGCATTGGTAATTATATTGTCCGTTGGCGAAAAAAATTGATTTATATTTTTGAACCTTATAAAAGTGAAATTGTTTGTCTTTGCTGACCATAATTGTTTATTGGGTGTTTCTAACATGAGTGAAATTCACACTCCCTTTATTTTATTAACAACTTTTTTTTTGTGGTTGTAGTTATTGATTTTATTTCTTTTGAAAAAAAGTAATGTTGTTTTACGTTTACCTTATTTTAAAAAAATTATTTTAATGTAGAGCTATAGTTGCTATTGGTAATGGAATTGAATTGTTTATTGTTGTTATTTGTATTTTATTTCACAACAAGAATGTGAATTTTGGTTATTAATTAGTGGAAACTGTTAAAGAGAAAAATCAATGAAGATATATGTATATATACGGAGTATGAAAATTTCTTATACATATCCATTAACAACTTCTTCTTTTTTTGTATTTTTAAAATTTTTAAAATATCTAAACACTAATTAAATGATTTATGTGGATTCAATGTCATTTGAATGATTTTAGACATTTGTAGCTGATTATCCATGTTTCTTTTTAATTGTGAAGTTTGTTGTCCCTCTATGTTAATGTTCCTCACAGGTCACAGCTAGGGGTATAAATGGGCCAAGTTAAGCCAAACTTTGACATTAAAAGCCTAAGCCTATGTAAAATATTTGGAACTTATACTAACCCATTAGCCTATTAAATACTTGATTTATGATCTGCCATATTATAAAAAACAAATAAGACTTATTATAAAAAACAAAAAAAACAAATAAGACTTGTAAGGCCTACCAAGTTGAAACTAAAGTTTGTAGGCCCAAATCAAATTAAAATATAAAAAAAAAAATATTTATTCACAAAAACCACATGAAATCAAAGTTCATTAACATCACATGAAATAAGCTTTCATTAACATCACATGAAATAATGTTATCAAAGATCACATGAATATGTGCATAAAAATCACATCAAAATTTCATATATGTATATATAATTTGCACTTTCTTTACTAATTTTATTTTATATTATATTCTAAATTTTAAATAAATAACTATTATTTATTAAAATAGCATCAATCCTATTACTTTGAAAATTTTAAATAAATTTTTTTCTTAATAGATTTGTATAATTATGAAAAAAATTTGATAACAACTTCTTTTTTGTATTTTTAAAAATTTTAAAATATCTAAACACTAATTAAATGATTTATATAGATCCAATGTCATTTAAATGATTTTAGACATTTGTCGTTGATTATTCCATGTTTCTTTTTAATTGTGAAATTTGTTGTCCCTCTATATTAATGATCTTCACAGGTCACGGCTAGGGATATAAATAAGCCAAACTTTGGCTTTGATAACCTAAGCCTATGTGAAAATTTGAAACCTATACTGACCTATTAGCCTATTAAATACTTGATTTATGGCCTGCCATATTATAAAAAAACTAAAAAAACCGAATACAACTTATAAGACCTACCAAGTTGCAAACTAAAGTTTTTGTAAGCCCAAATCAAATTAAAATATAAAAAATAAAAAAAATTATTCACAAAGACCATATGAAATAAATTTTCATTAACATCACATGAAATAAACTTTTTTTTAACATCACATGAAAGCTATATTCAACCGAATAAGCTTTAAATGGAAACAAAAAGTTTGAAACAATAAAATGAAAAGCTATATTCGAACTGAATAAGGCCATAATATTTCTGCAAGTTACTATTGAGATGTGAATGCAATTCTCAGCACTTAAATTGGGTACCCTTATACCAGAAGTTCATCTGAATAAAGCTACAGGGAGAAGTCCAGAGTTGATTCTCCTTTTTTTGTATATCTAATTGTTTAAGTAACTGTAAGATCTCCAATTTTCCCAATCACAACAGCTCGAGATGACTAGTTATTGCATCTGGGCAAGACTGGGCTTGCAGAAGCTCCAAACGGTTGGAAGGTGGAGCAAACTGCAATATGTAATCTTCATCTGAAACCAAGAAAGAAAAACATTAACAGACACAAAATGAAAGCATTCAGTCCTATATAATGAACTGTATTTTGATTTGAAAAGTTGTTCCTACAAAATTTCATCTCCCTTCTATCGTAGTTATAGAAATTGCACCATTCATGATTTGAACCATTCGATTGAATTCAATTTGTCAAGCCAACAATTAGTATCATGTGATGAATCAGAGAAAACTTTAGATTGTACAATACAAGCATAAATTGATGCGATTCAATACCCCAATATAAATCACGCGATTCATTCATTCAATTTTTTTTCCATCATCAATTCTCATAAAAGAAATTAAAAGTCAAATAAGCTTTAATTGTTAAATCAATAGGAACTAAAGGAATGTAATTAAATTCACCATATTTGATTATTCCATTGCCATGTTTTAATTTTTCATTGTTCTTGGAATAGGGACTTTACCGTCTCACTCACTCTATGCATCCTATCTGGCTGTTCCACTGCTCTGTTTTCATTCTTCAGAATCAGAGGCTTCCACGGTCACTCTCTCACTCTATATGCACCTTATTTGCCTATACCATTGCTTTGTTTTTGTTCTTTTGAAACATTAAGTTTCGTGCAGTCACTCTATGACTCTGTGATTCAATTATGACTTATGATTTTGTTTTATTTTTAGACTTATGGTTAAGTTATTTTTTCAATTTATATTTCCCAGTTTAAAATTATTACGCTGCATTATACTATCATTTATACGATATATTTGAAATTATTTTTCATTATGTCTCTGAATCTTACAAGATATAATTTACGATTCACAATTCAAAAATTAGCTTAGTGATTCATGATTTGATAATCTTGCTCTCTATCTATGTGTAAAACAGCCAAACAGTACAGATGAGGTCTAATACTACTTACTTTCTTTGACTGTTCCATACAGCCAGCATAATACTTCATCGGCAAATGCCAAGCAGACTCCTCCCTGCCAACAAAGTATGTTGATAATGAGAAGAAAAAAAAGGTCACATTCAGCATTTTCAGAGTATAATTATGATTTTCCGATATTTTGTACTCTTATTATGATATTGACTATCCTTGGTCAGCTATATGATAATTGATTGAATGTATAAGCACATACTTATGTAGATATACTCCTTGATATTTGAGAAGGAAATTAACAATTGGAACATCCTCTGTTTTTGACCCACATTTGACTCGTGGGAGTTTAGTATGATTGTAAATTAACTACTGCAATAGCCGACCAAAACAAATATTAGCCGCCATGCACCTTACAGCAGTTAAAATGTACCTGCCAGTAGTTCTTCATTTTTACTCTCTGTGTTATATCTTTGGTTCTAAGTCTTTCTGTCCGAACAAGACGACCTGCACCATCCCTGTATCACAGCTAAGATAATATAAACACAAAGTAAAAACCAGTAGCAGTATGAATTTTCATTTGTCGCTAAGTGGAAATGGACGATTATGTTTAAATAAGCTAAAATAAATTTTGCTAAATCTGGTTAAAGTGAGTTACTTCACAGCACAATGTTAATTGTGTAGTGATATTAAACAGCAATAACAATTACCTAAATCCTATGACAATATATGGAACTCCAGCCAGGAATGACTGAATCTGCAAACAATAACAGAAGTCTTATTAAATTCATGGCACACAAGGGAAAAAGGAGCACCTGGAGATGAAAAGCATAAAAATTTATCACAAAAGATAGAGGATATACCCAAAACTTCAGCAGTTTCTCTCTCTCAAATTTTTCCTCTGTATGATAATTCAACTGCACCATAAGAAATGATAGATCCATGTTTTTAAGCCAACATAAATGCTATACAAAAAGAAAATAAAAGCTGGGATTAAAGAAGTAGAACACAAGGAAGCTGGAACTGCATCAACCTCATAACTTGTCTTTAGCTCCATATAAAATCTCTTTCCATCATTAGTCGTATCACAGCAATCCATCTCAGCACCCATCAAGATACGGTGAGCCCCTAATTTTGTCTTAATCACAGAACAGAATTCAACATTGGCATCAACATGATGTATCCCCTCTCCATCTGCTCTTCTAGGATCTTCAGTGGCAAGGCTCTCAAAACAATATCCGTAATAACATCTAATTGCAAAACACATAAGTTTTAAAGCTTATCCAATAAAAAAAAAAAAATTAAAAATGAACGCTAAAACTGGGAAGAAATTCACTAATCACTAATCACTATATAGATTTAGATGGCTAAGCATAATAAATTAAAGAGACAGGTAAGCCCTGCACCTCCTGCGATCTAAATCACTTTGTGGTCTTTCTGGTAGCTTATGCACATCTAGATAGACAACACCATTCCTTTTGTGAACCCCCATTTCCCAAGGCTCATGACGGATATAAGCTGTAGCCAGTATCTGCAAAGACAGGAGTATTTAGCTCATATCATATGCTCATCATTTACTCACAGCTGATTTAATAACTCACAAGATTATCACTACTTAGCTCAGAAATTTCTAACAAAATTATATGATAAGACTCTGGCCAAGAGCAAACATAATTCGAAATGAATAATCCATTACCTTATTAAGATTGTTACGGAATGTCTGCAAAGGATAAAAAAGAGGATTAATGTATGACCTTCAGAAATTAACTCAGCAACATATTAAAATATTATGAAAAATTAAATCTTGATATACACCATACCACAAAATGAATGTTTTGAAGTGGGATATTTTTGTCCCTAATGCAAGCAAGGAGATCACCAAAACCTTCTGAGCCTAAGTCTGCTTTGGCAATTAACAGCAGAAGAAGAAGGATTACTAACATAAATAGCAGCACCATACATCACCTCTCATGTATAAATCTTTCAAGTGTCATTTTGAAATCTAACTTTTAAATTCGCAAAGCAGCAGGTAAATTATAGATAAATCACCACCTTTTTTGGCAATGAATGTATCATAACCTTCATTCAAATCAGCTCCAACATCTTCAGTGACATGGCGCTTAAAAAGTCTCTAAATAAACAGGAAAAAGGAAATGCTTAAATGAGCATAATATCATCACAATGCAAAGAGAACCAAATGAAAAGAAAATCAAATAATAGACGAGCCCCAAATACTCTTACCAAGCTACGATCATCGAAACATACTTCTCCGCCTTCTACACGACTGTAGCAGGCAACTTCACAAGGCTATCAAAATAATCAAGAAAACATAATCAGAACAAATACATCCAGAAAGGCAATTTAATAAGATTATATCAAACCAACGAGTTGAGAAATCATGACACAGGAAAAAGACACCAGCTTCAATATTTAAATCAAGCAGAATCAAGGCTCAGAGCTGTATTATGATCTTTTCTATTACCATACAAACCATTCCTTTTCCTTTTCTCTCTAGTTTCATCATAATGAGAAAAGCTAAAAATTGAAATATAAAAAACACTATCTCCATAACAATTTCTTGAAATCTTGAAGCAAATTGACCATTAAATTGCTTGATGCAGCAGCAGTAAAATATAGGAAAATGGCATTACCCTACCTCCTGAAAAGCAATGCACTTTCTAGACAGAGTTTCTTCACTCTTTGAAAGCTTCATATCAGAGACAAACCGTTCATCGTGATGGCGGCCATTCGGAAACCTGTTTCCATACCCAAAATTCTGCCTCTGAGGATAAGGTCCAGGACGAGGAAGAAGGCCAGCTCCTCTATCATTTTGAAACCCAGGCTGCCAACGACCACGGCCAAACCCCCCTCTACCCTGATTATTCGCATTGCGGATGGCAGGCAATACTGCCAGAGAAAACCACATCTTGCCATAAAACGAATTAAGAAAGAAAATCAACAATGTCATTTTCTTTAATTCATTAACATTTTCCAACAGCTGCAACAATTCAGAAGCACCATGGTAGGATAGAAATCCTAAAAATGCCTTGTAGATACAGCGATGTACCATTTCAGCACAAACCGGGAACATATGCTGTTAGGTTATCAGGCATAGTCTTTCACCTTCCTATCCTAAAAGTTCATTACGTAACAGGCTTTGTTCATATGTGAGCAACCACCACTAAACACACGCTATTTCTTTACTAACACTACATAATTACATAAACTTTCTTTTTCTGGCAAAGTTAATTGATGCATGAATGAAAATTGTCTAAGATAAACTTCAATGACGAAAAAAAAAAAAAAAAGAGATGAGAATTTTACCAGGAATAGGGTAAGGACTTTTAGCAAGGGTTTTACAGTAATCTTCATTATCAGAGCCAAATAGATCTTTGTCTTCATTATGAGAGGCATGGACCTTGTTGCTATCTACGACATCGCCATTCTCTTCGCCATCTTCGCCGCCGCTGCTGGCGGTTCCGGTGGCGGAGCTGGAGTCGGCGGCAGCATCAGTGGCGTTGGAGGAAGAGGCAGAAGAAGATGAGGAAGAGGAAGAAGAAGCAGAGGATGATGAAGATCGGGAAGAAGAGTGCGTCCCATCTTGTTCGTTGTCGGAATCTTCGCCGAATAGGTCCTTCTCCGAGAAATCCATTAACTATGGCTTCTCACTTCCTTCTCTCTCATTTTTGCTTTTTCTTTTTAATATTCTCTATTTCTAATTTCTTCTCTCTCTTTTTCATTGGGCCAGAACCGAGGGATCCAGCCCATAGATTTGCCTCCTTTGCTTCGACCCCTTGAATTCCCAATATGCTTGCGCACTAGTACATAAGTATTCAACGCATGCCTGTTTGGATCCTCTTATTTTTAAGCTAGAAGCTACTTATAAGCTAAAGCTAAAAAAAAGAGCTTAAAAAAAGAAGCTAAAAGCTGTTTGGAAATTACATAAAAATTTTAGCTTAAAAATTAGTTAAAAGCACATATTTCAAGAAAATTATTTCTCTCTCTATCTTTATCACTCTTCATTTTAAAAAAAAGCACACAATTCAAGAAAAACAGATAAGAGCTTAAAAAAAAGCTCCTCCTAGGAGCTTTTAATTTTCAACTTTTTTCTTCATTATAAAAAAAGAGCTTTTCGTTATAAGAGCTTTTTTCAAAATCTGTTTGGCCTAGCTTATGCTTATAAGTAGCTTCTAGCTTAAAAATAAGAGGATCCAAACAGGCACTTAATTAAGTAGTTTTAACTTTTACGAGAAACTTCTAGATTTAAATATTTTAAAAAACAATTGTTGCTTTTAGTAATTGTTCTTTATTTAGATACGCTTTTTTACTTTATTTAAATATAAATCATTATATTTATTTTTCAATAAAAAAACTGTTGTAATTAACACTATTTATTTTTTAATACAATTCTCTCACTCAATTTAAATTATATTTTGAAGTTTTAAATAAAAAATATATTGACAGAAAATTATTTTCATTCTCTATCTTTTTTTATGTTTTCAAATTCATTATTTTAGTTAACTAAATTATTAAATTAAGACAATATTTCCTAAATGTTAACTGTGTACATCTTTTTAAAACTTAACTCTATCAGTGTCATCAACCTTATGTAACAAATATCATTGACGTAACTTAGAATTTAGGTAAAATTATTTCATTAACAATGTTAGTTGGAGCAGTTTTTAAAGAAATATATGATCAAGTAGTGTATCAATTGGCGATGGGATTGCTTTATATAATCTCGAATTCGAGTTCTGAGTATTAATAAAACAGTGGAGAAATTAAAAATATATATTAACTTAGTAACTTGGAGATTTTGTTTTGATAGATAAAAAGTTAAAAGAGGAATTTAATAAAAAAAAATTGAGTATAAAAATATGTTTTTAATCAATCATATTCATATAATATTAACAATATAGTTAATTATTAAATACTTTTCACTCGAGATAATTTTATAGTTGTTTTGATAATTTAAACAAAATTATTAAGATTTTATTTCACAATATTTTCACTTGCCTATATTTCTAAATAATATAATACAAATAGTAAGTTTTAATCTTTGATGGCATGATAAATTTGAGGGAACAATGACACTGTTCATTAAGTTTTTTACCCAAATGTCATACGAATAGTGTTATTTTCTAATAAGCCACGCGGACAAGTTCGCTACAGTGTCCAGCGAACGTGGTAGCTAATGATTTCATTACACGTGGCACATTTTTGCATGAAAAGTTGACTGTCACGTGTCCAAGTTCGCTACTATTGGGAGGGAACTTGGTAGCCAATAATTTCATAACACGTGGCACACTTTTGCAAGAAAAGCTGACTGGACAAAGTTCGCTACCAGGGGTAGCGAACTTGGTGCGCTACGTGGCACAATATCATTGCTCAATCAGAATTAATGTACCAATCACAATAAAAAAAGAAAACGAAGGAAAATGGCTATTTAATCATGAAAGTGTGCCACGTATCACGAAATCATTGGCTACCAAGTTCGCTACCAGTTGTAGCGAACTTGGACACGTGACAGTCAACTTTTCCTGCGAAAATGTGCCATGTGTAACGAAATCATTGGCTACCAAGTTTGCTGGGCACTGTAGAGAACTTGCCCGCGTGACATATTGGAAAATAACATTGTTCGTGTGGCATTTAGATAAAAAACTTAATGAACAGTGACATTTTGGTTACTGTTCCAAATTTGAGGACATAACTTGCAAGAGATGGGATAGTTCATTTATCTCACACATATCGCGAGGGAAATGTTTGCATATATTGGCTTGCAAACTATGGTGTGGAGCAAAACAGTAAGTAAACTTTATTTGGTTTGAGTTCCCCCCCTGCGTCTAGCACTTTTAATTCAAGCAGATTTGGCTGTGGTTAGTAGACCTAGGCGTCGTGTGGTGTCTAATGCAATTCTATAAAGGTTTGTTTGGTATGATGTATAAGGTTTGATAGTATAAGCTTATACTATATGTTAGAAATATATTGTAATTAGGGTTTTCTTATTTTGTATTAGGTCAGATTACATTAGGTTTGGGCTTAGCCCATTAGTTTGTTTATATATTGTACATCTCTCTCATTCGTTAATATACATAAATATTTCAAATGTTCCTTTCTTTTCTCTCGTTATTTAACATGGTATCAAGAGCCTAAGGAACTTTGAAATTTTTTCCAGTGAACCCAATGTTCATCGTCGTTTAAATTTTTTTTTTCGGAGTTGTCTCCTTGTCAGTTTTCGGACGCTTCTCTCTCTGCATACAGCTTCTGTCTCGTCCAAAACCACTGTCCGGTCACCTTTTTCGGCGATCCACATACCGCCGTGCTCGTCTCAGCCGCACGGTTCCAACGCCACCGATCCCGTTGGATTCCAAGGTCACACGTGCGCGTGACAGTTCGGCCACTCTCTTCACTCCGGTGGCGCGTGGAGGCTCCTCTCCGGACGTGGCTGGTTGCGATCTTCTCGTCTCCTTGCGTAGGTTCTGGATCTGGTCTTGTTTTGGTGTTTGAACCTCTTTTTGCATTGACGCACAGATCCCTCTAAGCCCTTTACGTTGCTCAGAATTCCCTCTAATTTTGGGATCTGCTACAGTTCCTACACTGGATTCCGTGATGTCTACCTTGCTTGGAATTCCCTCTAAGCCCTCTACGTCATCAGCACCTCCTATGATGCATATACCCCCAGCGGATTCTGTTGACTCTTCCGCTCTTGCTGCTCAAGGGTATGGTCGTGGACGTCGATTCTCTAAAGGAAAGCTCTTATGCACTCATTGTCATCAGACCAATCATACTGTTGACCGTTGTTGGAAGCTTCATGGCAGGCCACCTCCACCTTCTCGGAATGCTCATGTTGCTTAGGCTTTCTCTAGTACCTCTGCTCTAGAGTTACCTTCCAGTGCACAACCTCCAGCTACTCTTCTGAATGAATTTGCGACTTGATGGTCTGAGAAGCAAACATCAGATCCCACTGCATCCATTGTTCCCTCTGGTAATTCTTTTGCTGGCATCTCTCAGTTGCACTCTATAGGCCATTGGACTCTTGATTCCGAGGCTTCTGATCACATTTCTGGTAATAAGTCCTTATTTACTTCCCTTTGTACTACTGGTTCTTTTCCCACTATTACTATGGCCAATGGGTCTCTGGTCCAATCAAGGAGGATTGGCACAGTTCTTCTTTGACCCAATTTATCTCTGGATCATGTTCTACATGTGCCCGATTCTCCTTTTAACTTACTTTCTATTAGTAGTTTGACCAAATCCATTGACTGTGTTGTTTATTTTACTAAAACCTCTGTCATCTTTCAGGATCGGAGTTCGGGGAAGGAGATTACCAAAGGATGTGAGTCTCAGGGCCTCTATCAACTAGTTCCCTCTTCCTCAACCTGCTCCATTGTGGATTCTCCTCTTACCATCCATGCTCGTCTGGGCCATCTTAGTCTTGCAAAGCTTCAGAAGATGGTTCCCCATTTATCGTATCTTTCTACTTTAAATTGTGAGTCTTGTCAGTTTGGGAAACATACTCGTAGTACGTTTCTGAGTCATCTTAGTCGTCAAGCTGTTTCTCCTTTTTTCTGTGGTCCACTATGATGTTTGGGGACCAAGTCGTCATTATTCTACTTTGGGTTTTAAGTACTTTGTTACCTTTATTGATGATGTACTTGGTTATTTTTAATGAAAAAGCGGTCTGAGTTGTTTTCTATTTTTCAGTTATTTTATAATAAAATAAAAACTCAATTTAGTATTCCCATTCATACTTTTCGTAGTGATAATGCATGTGAATACTTATCTCATCAATTTCAACAATTCTTTTCATCTCATGGCATTCTTCATCAAACATCTTGCCCTCATACACCTCAACAAAATGGTGTAGCCGAGCACACGAATCGCCATCTGGTTGAAACCACTCGTGCCTTGTTAATTGATGGTAATATTCCATACACATTCTGGGGTGATGCTATACTTACTGCATGTTATCTCATTAATCACATGCCATCATCTGTTCTCAATCATAAGGTACCTCACTCTATTTTATTCACCCATTAGGCTTTATATCCTTTAACTCCACATGTGTTTGGTTCTACGTGTTTTGTTCATCATCTTGGTCCAGGTTTGGATAAATTAGCTCCCAAGTCTCATAAATGTGTTTTTCTGGGTTATCCTCGGACTTAGAAGGGTTACCGTTGCTACTCTCCCACTTTACGTCGATACTTTATCTCGACGGATGTCTCCTTTTTAGAATCAGTTCCTTTTTTTGGATCCTCTACTACTCCTGTGGATACTGATTCTGTACAATCGTCCTTCCCGGGTGACCTTCTTTACCTTCCGTCTTTACCCGTCCATGTTTCTGACTCTCCTTCTATCACCTCTTCTGCTGATGAGATCGAGCATAGTTCGTCAAATGTCTCTGTGGACTCACATTCACCTGCATCTCCTCCCACGGCTTCGGTCCCACCTTCGGATAGTGACCTTCCCATTGCTCTTCGTAAGGGTACTCGTAATACTCGCCCTCCGGCCAGGTATACAGTCAATCTTAGTTATCATCGTCTTTCTCCATCATATTTTACTTGCCTTTCCTCTTTGTCCTCTGTATTTGTTCCTAAGACTACATGTGATGCACTTTCACATTCGGGATGGAGACAAGCTATGATTGATGAAATGAGTGCTCTTCATCATAATGGCACATAGGATCTG